AAGTTTGGGAAGAATTCAGACAGAATTTATTTTCTATTCAATCCCAGGTTGCAGTTTACAGCCTATCTGTAATTGCTTTTCAGAACCTCTTCCATGAAACATTGTAGCACTTTGGCACAATCACTAGGCACAACTAAATACGTTTGTTCATTGTTTCGGAAGTCAGTTAAGAGTCAACTATACTTTTCATGGATCTGGAGTCACATTGGCCAGTCCAGGCAAGGACAACATATTTCCTTTCTTAAGGACATGAATGAACCAAATGGAATTTTCTAATTATTCAGTAGCTTTAACATCACTAATACAGATACAGCACCATATATTTAATAACAGATTTATTTAACAAACAATTTAAATTCCCCAGCTGCGTGGTGAGATTTGAATTTGTGTCTCTGGATCATTAGTGCAAGCCTCTGGATTACTCATCTACTTAATAGTCTGGTATGTATTTAAACTAAATTACTAAACTGTACCTTCAAATTTGTTGGCTTGAATTTTGCCTCTTAAAAGTTATTACTTACTTGTAGTACGGTAAAACAATGTTTGAAATAACATTCAGGATAGTCAGAACTGCAGGTGCTGGAGTCAGAGATAACACAGTGTGGAGCTAGAGGAACACAGCAGGCCAGGCAGCATCAGAGGAGCAGGAAAATTGACGTTTCGGGTTGGGACCCTCCTTCAGAAATGGGGGAGGGGTAAGGGAGCTCAGAAATAACTAGAGAGAGGAGGGTTGGCACTGGGGAAAGTAGGTGGGATGGTGATAGGTGAGTGCAGGTAGGGAGTGGTGGGGATTGATAAGTGAAGTGGGGGCGGGGGATAGGTGGGAGAGAAGATGGACAGGTTGTGTCAGGTCAAGGAGGCTGGGATGAGAGGGAGGATTGGTCATGGGTTGAGACCGAAGGTGGGGAGATTTTGAAACTGGTAAAATGCATGCTCAGACCATTGGGCTGTAGGCTCCAAAGGCGGAATATGAGGTGCTGCTCCTCCAGTTTCCAGGTGGGGTCATCGTGACACTGGAGGAGACCCAGGATGGACATGTCACCCAGGGAGTGGGAGGGTATGTTAAAATGGTTCATGACCAGAAGGTGTTGTCATTTTCATGGAGCACAGGTGCTCTACAAAATGGTCTCCAAGCCTCTGCTTAGTCTCACTGATGTAGAGGAGGCCACATTGGGAGCAGCAGATGCAATAGGCCACATTGATGGATGTGCAGGTGAACCCTTGTCTAATGTTGAAGATTTGTTTGGTGCCTGGGAAGAGGTGAGGGGGAAGGTGTAGGGCAGGTGTAGCACCTCCTGCAGTTGCAGGGAAGGGTGCTTGGGATGGTGGGGTTAGTAGGGAGTTGCGGAGAGAGCGGTCCCTACAAAAGGCAGATAGGGGTGAGGAGGGAAATATCTCTTTGGTTGTGGGGTCGGATTGTAGGTTGTAGAAGTGGTGGAGAATGATGCGTCGGATACAGAGGTTGGTGGGTGATATGTGAGGACAAGGGGGACTCTGTCTTTGTTTTTGTTGAGGGGAGGGAATGTGAGGGCAGAAGTGTGGGAAATGCAAAAGATGCAGCTGAGGGCATTTTCGATCACCGGAGGGAGAAAGTTATGGTCCTTGAAATAGGAGAACGTCTGGGATGTGCAGGAGTAGAACACTTCATCTTGGGAGAAGACGCGGCAGAGACAGAGGAATTGGGAGTAGGGGATTGCATTCTTGCAGGAGGGTGGGTGAGAGGAGGTGTAGTCCAGATAGCTTTGGGAGTTAGTGGGCTTGAAATAGATGTCAGTTTCGAGGTGGTCACCAGAGATGGAGATAGAGAGGTCCAGGAAGGAGAGGGAGGTATTGGCGATGGTCCAGGTGAATTTGAGATTGGGGTGAACGTAAAGTTAGTAAAGTTGATGAACTGTTCAAGCCCCTCGTGGGAGCACGAGGCAGCACCAAGACAGTCATCGATGTAGTGGAGGAAGAAGTGGGTGATAATGTCAGTGTAGCAAAGGAAGACAGATTGTTCCTCACATCCTATGAAGAGACAGGCATAGCTTGGGCCCATGCAGGTTCCCATGGCCACCCCTTTAGTCTGTAGGAAGTGGGAGTAATTGAAGGAGAAGTTGTTACAGATAAGGAGGAGTTCAGTTAAGTGGATGAGGGTGTTGGTGTAGGGGTACTGGTTGGGCTCGCGGGAGAGGAAGAAGGTGGGGGGTGGGAACACAAGTGTACAGGGATTGGATGTCCATATTGAAGATGAGGTGTTGGGGGCCAGGGAATTGGAAATCTTGGAGGAAGTGGAGAGCATGGGTGGTGTCCCAGATATAGGTGGGGAGTTACTGGACTGAGGGGGAGAAAACAGAGTCAAGGTAAGAGGAGATAAGTTCAGTGGGGCAGAAGCAAACAGAGACAATGGGTCGGCCGAGACAGTCAGGTTCATGGATTTTGGGAAGGAGATAGAAACGGGTGGTGCAGGGTTGGGGAACAATGAGGTTGGAGGCTACGGGTGGGACATCACCTGTGGTGATGAGGTTGTGAATTGTTGCCTGTTCCTCATTATTGCTTGTGTGTAGAAAACGTTACTGCTTAGATATATTTTAAATGCATCAGTATACAACAATTACTCATCTTCAAATTATTGAATAGCAACAGTACAGAAGACTATTTTGTCCATTATGTCTACAGTGCCTCATTGTAAGAACAGTCCAAACATCTCCACTTACTCAGGCTTTCACAAAGCCCTGTATTTCTTTTCTCTTCAGTTGCTTATCCAATTCTCTTTCAATTGCATCTGCTTTCGTTGCATACCTAGACTGTACGTTGCGGATCTTGTGGATCCTAACTCTTAGCTTTGGTTCCTTTGACAATCCCCTTAAATCTGTCATTTAGTTCTCAATCATCTGCAAATGAAAACTGTTTCTCCCTCTATGCTCTGTCCACAGACTTGAAGAAAGGTTGGAAATTTACCTCTAATACCTGTGCAATTTTTATCCTTACTTCCCTCAGCACAGATACATCTTGGCTGTCTTGGTGACTTACCAACTTTAAGTACAGCCAGCTTTCCTAGTATCTTGAATTTTATTAATATTTAGCCCATCCAGTATTTTAACTAGTGATTCTTTTATTAAGGCTTGGCAACATATTTGTGCCTTGGTAAACAAGATTCAGATAATATCTGTCCTCTGTCTTCATGCCTACACATGGTCAGTAATTAGTCCCACCCTCCTCTTACTACTCTTCTAATATTCATATGCAGAGAGGAGGCATTTTTCACAGTCACCTGGTAATACAGAAATTGAGCGTTGCTGAAGTTTCTTGCATTCATCAGGACAGACACAAAAATACCAAATTTCAAAAGAAATACAATTTGTATTAAATGAGCAAAATAGGTGTTGATTGGTTGTCATGTGGACTCTGTTGGTTGTGGTGTTTCTACAGAGATTGCATCAGGGAAAAGCTGTCCCTTAGTCTTTGGTTGGATTGAAAAGGTGCATGTGTGGCCCTTGTATGTACTTGCCACTCACTCAGTCTCCACTGCCTGTCTGTCTGCTTGACCTCTGACTGTCTACATGCCCACCACCTTATGAAAAAAAAGGTTCCTGGTGAACCAACTTTAGCATAAGTATTAAAGAGAAGGTCCTGTGAATAAATATAAATGTAATTCTTCAATGGATGTCTCTTTTTCACCAGCAATCTTATTATTTTTCTTGTTTAAAAAATCAATTGAGAACCTTTAAAGTAGAGAAATGACCCTAGGCACTCCAAAAAGGATGCTGAGGCAAGCATTAAAATTACAAAGGTGGATACATAATTTTGCAGTGTGTCTACTGCTAGTCCTGCCATGCAGATCCATCATCCCCCATCTTCTTGAGCTCCACTTAATCAATTACCTAAATCTTTTTGCCTTCATCTTCAAACCACTGTCTTGCTTCACCTTCCCAGACCAACCTATGTCTCAGCCTATTAATCTTCATCTGAATGTGAACTGTTATCTATTTATTGCACTTCTAATTGAAGATTGATACCCACCATTCGGTAACCCTATGAAATTCCAGCCCAAAATCAACTGTTTTGCCTCTGCCCTTTCCAAAACCTCCTTAGATCCGTCTCTTTTCTATACCCCCTGTCAAATCAGTGTCTACATTCGGTAACTTCCAAGATACTTTGAAATGTTGCTTTATTTGAGGAACACTGTGAAGTTAGGTTACTTTGTTAAACCTGCTGTGAAACTGTGTTACTCTTCATACCGCAATCTGTTACATTATATCGACGCAGCTTCGCGGCAACTTCAAAGGAAAATAATTGGATCTGTAACCATTGTAAAATAATAGTGCATAGAACAATACCAGGTTTGATGATATGGTTTAAAAAAATGTTGCCCAATTCGTACAGACCAAACGTGCATTTAACATAATTATTTGCAAATATGCTTTTCTGGACAATGGCTGTGCCTGTTAACATTGATCAACCTCTTTACAAATGCTGACTGATCCCTTCCCGTTTCGAGCAGCTGTTGTTGCTGCTGGCATATTGCAGAATGTTTGTTTTTGAATTCAAAAAAACCAAACAGGCAATCGAGTTTTCTTCCTGGCGGTTTTTGATTGGACCTACAGATACAATTGCTCCCCTGTGTATGGCATTGTAGTTTTAAATAACACTGCCCAAAGCATTTAGGGAGTGTTTTCTTTCGAACGGATGCTACCCCCACTCGTCCCGAAACCCCCAGTGCAAACAAACTGCAGCAATTTCAACCAGAGAAACCCCAGCGCCCACGAATACTGACAAGCTGGGGAACCAGTCACTGAGCCTCCGTCCTGCGGCGAACCTGGCGCCTCGGCCCTCCCCTCCCCTCCTCTCCTCTCCCCTCCCCTCCCCTCCCCTCCTCTCCTCTCCCCTCCTCTCCTCTCCCCTCATTGATTGTCCTTGGACCAATGGAAAACCCGGGCTCTGGGAAAGTGGGCGGGGCTGTCGCTCGGTCCCCACCACACAGCGACTTGGGGGGGCGGGGCATGATTGGCATCTTATTAGCATTATATTATCATCTGATTAGCAAGGTGTTTAGAAATTGAACTGCTGTTGGCTGTGAGTTGAAACTTGCAACAGGGGTTGTAGCGTTCTTTCTCGAAGTGTGTCCCCTGCAAACCAGCTCGATCCACCCTTTTGCAACCATGCCTCCCAAAAGGACGGTAGGTTTGGGCAGCAAGGTTAGTTTCGCTGCTTTTTTTTTCTGGTAATTCGAACCGTACTCACTGCTCTGTTTGGAAATGGTGAATAGAAAATACGTCGTACAATTTTATGTACTCTCATTTAAAAAAATACCTTTGTGAAAAAGTTTTTTTTTTAAATTTGGGAATTGTTTCTTTTTTTCAGAAGAAGGACAAAGTAACTAAACTGAAAGCGTAACGCGGTCATTATTTGCAACACGATTTCCAGTTATTTGGTGTCCTAGTTCCCTCCATGATGGTTGCAACAAATGAATCTTTCTTCACTTCAGTATAGAAATGTTGTACCCATTTTCGATGCTTCGAGGTGGTTGTAATTTTTTTTTATATCTGTGTATGCAATCAAAATGTAAAGGGACTTAGATTTTTGTGGGTACGTCGAGCATATATGAAGTAACATTGAATTGCGAATTTTTAAAATGCATATATTTATTTCTCCTCTTCGAAGGCTAAAGCCATGTTTGAAACTAATCTCCGCCTGTGGGGTTTTAGCGGAGCCCGTATGTACCTGTCACTCATTCAGTCCCCGCTGCTTGTGTGCGTGCTCGCCACCTCGGGCGCACGCACGAGTATTACAGTTACCTGGTGAACCGAGGTAGGCATGAGTATTAAAGCAAGTGGAGGAGGGGGTATTGAAGGAGCCCCTCTCCCAAGGGCTAGAGGTGACCATGGAGTCTGGCAAAGGAGTAAACCCGAGAGGCAGTGATTGAAGTTAAAATAATTCAGTCATTTTGGGAACTCTATTTAAAGGAAGGACGGTGCTTAAAGTATTTAAAAGAGAGGGGGGGGGGAAGAGCTAATGGTGGAGCAGGGAAGATAATTAGAGGAGGTAAGTGCCCCTTGGGAATGTGGTGAATGAGGGAGAGGTTAAGGAGGTAAACTAACTGGGATGGAGTGATTGTTAAAAAGACTTGTCAACTTGCAGAGTGGCTTCCTTGCCACAGAGTGCTGTGGGGACAGTCCTTGTGTAGATTCTTGACCAGTCAGGGAAATCAAGGGTTAGGGGCAAAATGCAAGAAAGTTGAGCTGAGGAATGTGTTCGCCATGATCCTATTGAATGGCACAGCATAGAATCCCTACAGTGTGGGTAGAGACTATTTGGCCCATCAAGTGTGCGCTGACCCTCCAAAGAGCCAGACCCATCCTATCCCTGTAATTAACATGACTAAACCACCCAACTGTAGACTGTGGGCCAGTTTAACATGATCAGTTCACCTAATCTGCATATCTTTGGACTGTGGGAGGAAACAGGAGGGCCTGGAGGAAACTTGTGTAGACACAAGGAGAATGTGCAAACTTCACACAGACAATCGCCCAAAGTTGGAATCAAACCTGAGTCCCTTGTACTTTGAGGCAATAGTGCTAACCACAGAGCCACCATGCTGCTCTTGAGCACACTTATTCCTGTTTATTTCTTATAGTGTAATACATATTAAATGGACCAACTAGAAGGTGATAGTAAATATTGCTTGAGGGAAAGACTAAGAATAAACACGAGTGATTCTCTAACTGGGATGGCAGATGGTTGAGGATTCATGGAACAGAATTCATTCAAAACAAGAGCGTACATTGCTGGACAAACTCAGCAGGTCTAGCAGCATCTGTAGGTAGAAAGCAGATTTAAGGTTTCAAGTCTAGTGATCCTTCTTCAGAACAGTCTGTTCTTGACCCTCTGACAGAAATTTCTTCTAGTCTGTCCATAAAGGGTGACCCTTAATTCGAAACAATGCCCCCTAGTTAGGGACTTGGTAAGGCCTCATGTCTTCTATGGGGAAAGTGTTTTTCATTAAAATAAAATTATAGCATTTGTCTTAAAGCCAGCAAGTGACAGCTGAGTCTACAGCATTTGGAAGATTAGTGTACTGTGGCTCAGTTACATGGCATGATATCAAGGTGGACTGTGTGGTCAAATATAGGGAAATCCTCTCTACCTATTTGCAAATGTGTAATCTGAGGGGTTTTCTTTGGTATATGAACAAAACATCTTTGTAGTTTTAAATTAGATGTGATTTCCTTTTTCTAAAATAAAAAAAATTGAAATGGCAAAGAAACATTTTCATCAGTCTGTGTAAACTGTTTCTGCTGCTGTGTCTGGGTGGTGATTCATTGAAAGAAACATGCCAAGCAGCCTAAAACACAAGTAATTTACCTCATGCAGTTAGACAGATTTTAGATTAATAATGTATGCAACATTGTTCTTTCAGGCACCAAGTGAGGGTGAGCAAAAACATGAAGCAAAAGTGGTTAAACCGGTGAGAATTTTTGCGCTTTCCTTCCAATATCTAGCTTTCAATTACATATCACAGCTGTTTCTTTTCACATATTTACTTATTATATGACCCTCCAAAGAGTATGAAATGGTAGTAATGCCTTATTTTATTAACCTTTTTCCAAGTGCATTTTAAAAAAAAATGTCCTTCCTCTTTTTGCAGCTCAGAAGATCCGATAGATTGGAAAAAGTAAGTAGACCTACAATCCAACTATGTATATAAATGAGAGGATAAATCCTGAGGCTTATTTCAGTGCCAATACAGGTAGCTATCATAAATATGTTCTGTCTTCCAATTACTGACACATTACTCACCATTTAGCTATCCAATCATGCCTCAATTCTCATGTTTCTTATAGTAGCCTCAAGAGTTGCTGGGAATGGAGGGTTGAAATATAAAAATATACTGAAAGGCTTGGACTTTCATGGAAGGGTATGAAGTTGAGGGTTATAAAATCATGAGGGGCATAGATAAGATAAATGACAAGAAATTTTTCCCTTATTTAAAAACTAAGGGGCACTTTTTCATTTAAGAAAAAAATGAGTGGAGAGAGACTAAAGGACATGAGGGGCAACTTGTTTAAATGAGAGTGGTTCATGTGCAGAATGAACTGCCAGAGAAAGTGGTGGATGCATGTACAGTTACAATATATAAAAGACACTTAGACATGTACATTAATTAGAAAGGTTTGGAAGATTATGGACTAAGTGCAGGCAAGTGGGATTGGTTTAGTTTGGGAACATGGCCAGCATGGATTTGTTGGACCGTGGGGTCTATTTCCATGCTGTAATATTTTCTAACATCAGGCTAATTTTACCATGAAGCTGCCTGATTGTAATTTTGAGAACATTGTTATGAAGATCTTATCTAAAAGATAATTTAATTTTAATATAGAAGCATAGAAAATAAGCGCAGGAGTAGGCCGTTTTTAGCCTTTTGATCCTGCACCGCCAATTGTTATGATCATTCAAACCAATGATCCATTCCTACCTTGTCCCCCACATGCTTTGATCCCTTTAGCCCCAAGTGCTATAATCCAAATCCTTCTCGAAATCTTAAAGTTTTGGTCTTGACTGCTGTCTGTAGTAACGAATTACACAGGTTCACTACTCTCTGGGTGAAGAAATTTTCTCCATGTCAGTTCTAAATGGTCTACCCCACAACCAATTAAACCTAACCTCCTACGTCAATCCTGCCATCCTAAACCTTCACTGTGCTTCCTTTAACAAGAACATCCTTTCTCTGATAAGGAGACCAAAACTGCACAAAACATTCTTGGTATGCCCTCACCAAGGCCCTGGATAAATTCAGGAAGACATCCCTGCTCCTGTACTTGAAACTTTTTGCTGTGAAGGTCAACACACCATTTGCCTTGACTGCCTGCTGCACCTGCAAGCTTACTTTCAGTGACTGGTATACAAGGACACCTTGGTCTTATTGACTGGACGTGTAAATTCTGAATCTTTCACTCCCTGAAACGTTAACAATGTTACATATGTAAAGAACAAACTACTTGACCCAGTGTTGGGCCATTTTTTAAAATATAAAACTGGGTTTTAAACATAGACAAAAGTTGTCTTTTCCATAATAAGTTTATCTGTCTTGCACTCACTCTGTTGTTGAACCATTCGCACATTGTGTTGAAAACTCACTGGAAGGAGAAGTGTGTGTGAACCTACACCAGTGCCTCCAGAAAGCTATTTCAACCAGCCAATAATGAACCAGAAAGAAAACCCAGTGTTAACATCTTCTGTGGGCAAATGGACTTTATCTCCAGACCAGCATTTCAACAATCTGAATACGATTGTTTTCTTCTGAATTTAACCCTTCCATTGCCAAAATATCTTTTGCAATAATTATCTGCAGAGTTTTGTATTTGTTTCTGCAGGCTTGGCAAGGTGAGTTTAAGTCTTATTTTTCAAGAATGTTTGTAGGACATAGTTGCATATTTTAAAATCTTTTTTGTTCTTAACCTTGAGTAAGCATTCTAAGAAGTAAAACTAATACTTCCCTTTGTTAATTAAAGGAACCTGGCTCTCATATTTCTAGTGCTGAGGCATACAGTCTAATAGTGACAATATCACCTCCCTTTAGAATTAAACTTTGTGGCCAGTGGAGGAGTGTGTCAAAAAAGCCGTCCGATTACCTAGTGTAATGGGTTGTAACAACATGCTGATGGTGAGCAATCTCACCCAGCACCATTAATATTACCAGCACTTAAATTATTTTTAACAAATGTATGCTAGTGGGTGAGAATCTCTGGTGTGTTCCTGGAAAATTGTCTTCCAGCCTGTTATTGCTTGCAAATCGTAATAGTGGCATCTGGGTGTTTTTGTGAACAGACGCTAAATTTGAGAATAGCTTTTCTGCATGTTTGCACGTTTGTGCTGTGGGTCTTTGATTTAAGCAGTCTGATTGTTGATCCGCAGACCTTTAGGCATGTGGGGCAGGGTATCCCATGTGGTAGTGGGATCCAGAAAGCAGGAGTTGCTTCCTGGTCAGCCTGTATCTTTTGTAATTTAAAATATTGGGACTCAAAGCTTGAACAGATGGTTACCATTTTTAACAAGCCTGCTCCTCCCAGCCGTTACTTTCAGTACTATTTCAAGGAGAGCTTCAAAGTATCTGAGGCATTTGCCTGGCTTTCTCGTGGACAGTCGGACATTTAGAAGTTAAGAAAACAGGAGTTAGAGGAAGATGCATTTTGGTCATCTGAATGTCTGGCCTATCCTGATTTGGTTTTGTTTTGCAAGAGTGTTGCCTGAATACATGTGAGGTTAAGTTAAAGAAGGACAATATCATTTAGTTACTTGATAGAATAGAGTTGTATGTTAGTGCAATACTAAGTATGCAGCTGTATATCTAAATGACTGGTGGATTGTATCAAACAGCATGTCCCTTCACTATACAATGGGCAGCATTTGGACTGAAAATTCACCTAGCCCATGCTTGCAAAGCTCACAATGTAAGGCTGAATCATGTATGCAATTGGCCACTTGTCAAGTTTGGCAACTTGGATGGAGGGTTTCTCTCTTTGAGGCCTAGCATGAAAAATTTTGCCATCTTCCCAAACTCACCTCATTACCCATTCACCCACTCACTGGAGGTGGCAGTGCTCATCACTGCTAGGACATCTGGGATTCCTGGTGCTGTAGCCATAATGAAAAAGCTGTTATGCACTCAATCACCTGTTATCAGTCTGAAGCTGCTGTGCGTGGTTCATGCCATTTGTCCTGGGCGTGGCAGATGAGGGAACATATTGATGTCTCATTTTATGCCCCTGAACCTGGAGATCCTGATAGATGGAGTGGTGCAGAGGAGCACTGTCCTTTCTCCCTCTAGTGCAGATGGAGACTCCATGGTACCAGACCTTGCCAGCCTGGTCCGAAGTTGCTACCTGGATCAGTGTGGTCTGTATGATCTGGACAAGTGTGCAGCAGTAAAGGAAGAGGTAGCTGCATCTTCCCCCTTCATGCTGCCTGTCACCTTCAACCCAGGGGAGTTCAAACCAAGGAGGGGGCACCTGCCCCTAGGCAGCACACACACCCAGCATGTCTGGACCCACTAAATACAAACACCCTGAGGATTTTCCAAACAAAACTACAAGGCCTGTGGGCTCCACTGTTCTTCACGTTATTTGCAGCATGACAGAAAGAAAGAGCAGTCACATTGCAAGCAGAGAGTTGCAGCTCAGCCTCTTGCACTTGGGGCTTCACCTATGTATATTCTCATCTTGGTAGCCCTCCTTCGCCTTTGTACTTTGCCATGTTCCCAACTGACACTATCCAACTGTTCATCTTCCTGTTTTATTTCCCCAGACACACCAAGTCAATGTGCCGGATGTAGCAGTCTACTGTTGCCCCACCTCTGACAATCAAAGTGAGAGTATTCCTGACTGTTGATAACTCCTCCTCCCACATTACTCCTTTCCCTTCTATCATGTCTGCCCTCTTATGATTATATATTGAGATGTTCCCTTTCAGAGCTGTAATTCTCTTTGTACCCCAGCATGTTGTCTTAAATTCCTCCAAATAACTTCCCCGCCCCCAACGTCTGTCCCATGGTCCACTTCCTTGACTGGCTTAGCCAGACAGCCTCAAATGGTGAGCAACCAGCTGTGATTGCCTGCATTTCCTGGACTTGTAACACTGGACCCACAGGTCAAACTATAGCCCAAACCACCCCCCCCCCCCCCGCCCTAGCGACTGTAGATGTTTTGCTGGACTGGCCCTTACTGGCAGCCTAACGGTTTCCAAGCTGCCGGACTAATATCTGGCACAACTCTTGATGTACTGTGCTGGGATCCCCTGACTGAAAGGTGTTCCCCTTTTAATAAAACAAATAACTACAGATGCTGAAGATCTGAAACAAAAACAAAGCTTGCCGGAGAAACTCTGCAAGTCTGGCAGCATCTGTGGAGAGAAAGCAACAGTTAACAGTTTGAGTCCCATGGCCCTTCTTCAGAATTGAACCCACACTAGACTCCATATTAACTCTGCTTTACCTCCATGGATGCTGCCAGACCCACTGAGTTTTTCCAGCTGTTTTTGTTTCACTTATCTCTCTTTGTTTGACTCAGTGTTACTCCCCTTTAGACTTCGAGACATGCAGTGTGTTTACTATACGTGTAGATACTGTGCAATTAAGAGATTGTACAGCAATATGTCCACCTGCTTGACTGATCACTGCTGATGGCCATTACAAGTTGCCTGTTTTGTCTCTGCTGCAAGGTGAGGCAAGATATAGGAGTACCTTTAAGCTTTGGCTGAAGGGCGAAAGCACAAGGACAAGGTAGGCTGCTGGGAGAATCAAATTAGGGATAAAGTGAGAGAAAGTGCTAAGAACAAATGAGGAACCCTGAGATGCACTCTGGTCCAATCCACGAGATAGGTACCTGTCCCTACATGCAAAATGTCCTGGCAGCAGCATTCTAATGAAAAATGCCTGTGTGCTTTTAAGCATAGGCCTGTATTATAGAAGTTTTGTTTATGTGCAGATGCCTTCATTATGAAACATATGCTGCTGTACTTTGTAAAAAGCCACATAGTGCAGCTGGTCCATAACAGATCTCCTTGTCAATGCTGGCCTTTTGAGAGAGATGGCTGCTGAGTCATGGGAAGTGCTTAACGTATTCTAGAGTTGCTCCTTCAACACAAGGAGGTGGAATATTTGGCTGACCCAGTTGTGGGTTGCAATAAGTTTGTTTTCATTTTATTATTTTGGCAAGTAAAATTTCTTCTGGGCAACTGCATTCCAGGCATTCATTTGTGGATTTATGATAGAATGTAACAAGGTAACTTGCAGAGCAGTTTCTCCGCATTCATTGCTTGTGCATTTCGACAGCTGGTTTGCAATCATTGTTTGTTGCTGATTGTCTGTCTGCTTTGCTATTCTTTGTGTTTGTCCTATTCTTCGCTCCTGTTGCTGACCGTCTTGTATTTTCCCACTCAAAAATCTTGTGCCTCAGTGCGCTTGGTATTTGAATAATGTATTTAAAATGGACGACAGTATCTATATAATCCATGTCCATCTTGTTTTCTGCAAAGCCTGCTGCAATTGTCCTGGAGAAAATTATAATACCTTTTACTGTTCCCAGTCCTATTTATAAAATGCCAAATGCTGTGAGCTTTTCTATCGCTTCAATCCATCTGCACTACATTTTAAAGGAATTATGTTGTTCAAGCTCGAGTGCTCTCTGCTCATTTCTTCAGCATTTTGCATTCACGTACAAATTACCATATCCTACATTAATTTTCTACATATCATGCTAAATTCTGTCCTAGTAGCTTTTTTATATATGTATGCATAAAATATGACTGTCCAATTCTAGCAACTAGGATAAAACAAATGTGGGGAGCGAAGGCTTAACCTTTGAGACCTGTCCAATTGAGTGAATAAAATGATTTTAACAGCATATTTGAAAAGTGTCTTTTAACATGGATAGCATGATCAAACAACTTGACGATTAGAGCACTTTTTTTTTTAAAAAAAAGGTTGGCCTGCCACTTTGTCAGTGAATTCCGCCTAAATTTACTGAAGTACATCAAGCTATTAAATGTATGCTTTGCATTTTGGTTTACACTAAAAATTATTCAACTTCTGTTGCAGGCTGCAGCTGCTGCAGCAGCAGCTGTTGCTAAAGAAGAGTCCAAGCCACAGAAACGAGCCAGGGTAAGGATCTATATTATTCTGTCATTTTATGTTCGGCTTACTTCAGCTAGGGAGAATGTTACAACTGAGCTTGATTCTGTCCTTGCCTTCAATCTCCTTAAACACCCGTTCCAACGCAGCCTTTTTGATCCAAGATTGAAAATCCACCTGTTTAGGAAGCCTAACTTCCCAACTATGATTAACATGTCCAATGTGTATTGAGTTTGAAATTTCACCTTCCTGATTTGTGTAATCAAGAGCCACACGCTAGAAGTGCATTTATCTGCTAAACCCCAAGGGAACTGTAACTGTTGGATGTTTGGTTTTAGGATTTGCCTTGTATTCAGAATTGCCTCTGCACTATTGTTAGAGAAGGGCTTAAGAGAGTGTCTTGTAGGTGCAAATTATTGAAGAAGCAATGTACCCCAATAACCGAATTGTAACAGTGCAGAAGGCGGCCACTCAGCCCATTGTGTCTGCACTGAAATGTTTGAAGAATGACCCATGCAACAGTATACTATGAGGATGAGTGATTCTGGTTCAATTTTTTTTAAGTTCTTTCAGCGCAGAATAATGTAGGTTGGGATAAACACGGTCATGGTGCCCAGAAATGTAAGTTGAGGAGACCTTCTAAAATGTCACTTGGTCCACGCATCTGGAGCTTTCCATGTCCTTTTTTGTGTAGTCTAATTTTTAAGTCTATAAAGGCCTGTGGACAGATGATCGTGGGGGGACAATGTGTAAACACTACATCTTTTGTGTCTCTTTGTTAAAGTAAATGAAGGCCTCAAAAGTAGAATGATCTAAATTTTTTTTTAATGCATTCATAGGATGTGGGTATCACTGGCTGGGTCAATATTTATTGCTCATCCCTAATTATCCTTGAGCTACGTGACTTGCTGAGCCATTTCAGAGAGCAGTTAAAAGCCAACTTTGCTGTGCCTCTGGAGTCATTTTTAGACCAGACCAGGTAAAGATGGCAGATTTCTTCCCTTAAAGACATCAGTTAACTATATGGGTTTTTTAATGACCATTGGTGACATAGGTCATCATTAAGCTAATTTTTAGTTCCCGATTCTTCTAATTTCAATCTCTATCACGGTGAGATTTGAGCCCATGTACCCAGAACGTTAACTTGTGATTCTGGATTACTATCTATATTGAACTCGATCTACCCACTATGCTACTCCAATTATAAGTTCATTTCATTCTTTCTGTGGACAGATTACCTCAGTCATATTTACATAGTATCCTTCTGTTCTTTTCCTGTGTGCTATGCTAATACTATTTGGCTCAAAGGTCTAAGGTTAGTTGTCAGTCCCATCCCTTTGAACTTCAGTAGATTGTGTAACATATCTGCCATGTCAACCATGATGTATTGATCAGCAAATTGACTGGTGATATGCAAATTATTGCACTTGTACAGTTGACAGTATCAGAAACCACAACATTTCATGAACTACCTGTATCATAGGAGATGCACAGCTTGATTTGCATAGCTTACCAATAATTTTTGAATTAAGTGTTCTATACAAATAAAATATTTTTATGGATAGTGAAGTGTTCTGTGCCATTTTAATTAAAATGGAGTCTTTCAGGACCATTGATCATTCTGATTTCTAGAAGCTTTCACCAAAACCCAAGAAACAGCCCAAAGGGAAGAAGAAAATAACCAAGGAAGAGGTTTCACCTGCTCAAAATGGTGAAACGAAACCTGATGAGGTACTATTTGAATCTGATGTGTGCTTAAAAGCTATGTTCATATATTTAAAAAGATTTTAGGGCAAGCCATGTTTAACTAATTGGATATATTTCTTTGACGGAGGTAGCTGAGAACGTTGATACACTTCATCATGCATGCATGGATTTTTTAGTCATTAGTAGTAAAGTGCTATTTAACCAGCTTGTCAGCAAATTGAAACCCATAGAATAAAAGGCAGTGGCAACAAGAATGCAACACTGGTTCTGTGGTAGGGAATGCAGTAGTGGTGAACAATTTGTAACTGACCTCCAGCCCAAGAAACAATGGGATTTTCCCAAGGGTCAGTATTAGGACTGCTGCTTTTCTTGACCTAAGCTTGGTTGTATAGCATAGTTTCAAACTTTCCAGATGCGACAAAACATGGCAGTATCATGAACTGTGAGGAGAGTAGTAATGGACTTCAAACGGTGGGGTGGGTGTTGGTGGGGGTCTGAAGCTCTCAAATGGACAGAGAAGTGGCAATGATTCATTATGTTAGGAAGAATAAAGTGCACAGTTCTTAAATTCACAGGAGCATGGGAGTATGTAAGTGCAAATTGTTGGTTGGTTTAAGTGGCAGGGGCGGCATGGTGGCTCAGTGGTTAGCACTGCTGCCTCACAGCGCCAGGGGCCTGGGTTCAATTTTCCCCCTTGGGCAACTGTCTGTTTGGAGTTTGCACATTCTCTCTGTGTCTGCATGGGTTTCCTCCGGGTGCTCCGGTTTCCTCCCACAGTCTAATAATGTGCAGGCTAGGTGGTTTGGCCGTGCTAAATTTCCTGTAGTGTTCAGGGATGTCTAGGTTGGGTGGGTTTGGGGAATGGTCTGGGTGGGATGCTCTGAGGGTTGGTGTGTTGGGCAAAAGGGCCTGTTTCCATACTGTAGGGATTCTATGGAAGATCTGGCATATAGGACCTTGGACTTTATCAGTAGGCCTATAGAGTCCAGAAGTGAGGAGGTTATAGTGCATCTACGTAAATAAACACCAGTTCAGTTTCAACTAGAGTATTGTCCAATTCTAGGTACCATCAAAGATCTGAAAATATCAGAGGGAGTGCGGAAAAGACTTAAGAACAGAGCTATCCTTGGCATGGATCAATTTAACACCACTGGGATCTGTGTCTCGGTCTCTATTTCCACCCCCACCCCGTCCCTGGCTGAACATCAGCAGGAGAATTGGTTGTTTTTCAAATTCATGAATCTGGATAGTGTAATTGGGGAAAATACCTGTTCCTAGTAGCAGAAGGATTGAGAACCACAGAACAGTAATTTGAGGTGGAAAGTGGAAGAATCAGGGGTGACATGAAAAACATGTTAGTGCAGTGTATGAGAGATAGTAGGAACTGCAGATGCTGGAGAATCCGAGACAACAAGGTGCAGGGCTGGATGAACACAGCAGGCCAAGCAGCATCATAGGAGCAGAGAGGCTGACGTTTCGGGCCTAGACCCTTCATCAGAAAAGGGGGAGGGGAAGGGGGTTTTGAAATAAATAGGGAGAGAGTGGGAGGCGGATAGAAGCGGGATAGAGGAGAGGATAGGTGGAGAGGAAACAAACAGGTCGAAGAGGCGGGGATGGAGAGCCAATAAAGGTGAGTGTAGGTAGGGAGTTAGGAAGGGGATAGGTCAGTCCAGGGAGGACGGACAAGTCAAGGGGGCGGGATGAGGTTGGTCGGTAGGAGATGGAGGTGCGGCTTGAGGTGGGAGGAGGGGATAGGTGGGAGGAAGAACAGTTTAGGGAGGCAGGGACGAGCTGGACTGGTTTTGGGATGCGGTAGGGGGAGGGGAGATTTTGAAACTTGTGAAATCCACATTGATACCATTGGGCTGCAGGGTTCCCAAGCGGAATATGAGTTGCTGTTCCTGCAACCTTCAGGTGGCATCATTGTGGCACTGCAGGAGGCCCAGGATGGACATGTCGTCTGAGGAATGGGAGGGGGAGTTGAAATGGTTCGCGACTGGGAGGTGCAGTTGTTTATTGCGAACCGAGCGTAGGTGTTCTGCAAAGCGGTCCCCAAGTCTCCGCTTGGTTTCCCCGATGTAAAGGAAGCCACACCGGGTACAGCGGATGCAGTATACCACATTGGCAGATGTGCAGGTGAACATCTGCTTGATGTGGAAAGTCTTCTTGGGGCCTGGGATGGGGGTGAGGGAGGAGGTATGGGGGCAGGTGTAGCACTTCCTGTATGATTAGGATCTGGAAAGCACTACCTGAATAGTAGTTGTGGGAAGCTCGCTTCAATTTTGGAAAGGAACTGCATGATTAACTGGAGAGAGAAGAGTTGAGGGAAAGATGGAAGAATAGGTCTCCTTTGATTTGATCCTTTGGAGCTACCATAGGATGACCATATTTTGTGAATCATAATTCTATAAAACTTGCAATGATTAGATTTTTTTTCAGTTTTGTTTTTTGCTAACACTTGTTTCAGATCCACGTTTCTCGTCCCTCTGTCAGTGTCACTTCAGCTAGAGATACCCCACTCCACTCACTGTCTGTGAAGGGCCAGGTTGAAACAGTGGCAGTTAAGGGTATGATAATGTATACTGTGTGTGCTGTGTACATGCTGTGGTTAACGCTTTTTCTAAAAAAAAACTGATGATCCTTAAGGCTGGCTTAAAATACCAAGTGCAGTGGAATACTGTGGATGCTGAAAATCTGAAATAAAATCAATGCTTTAGAAACTCAGCAAGTCTGGTAGCTCTTGTATAGCGCGAGAGAGAGAGAGATTATATTTCAAGTCCAATATTACTGAAGAATGAGGTGGAAAAGTGGTGGGCTTTTATACTGTTGGAAAAGGTCTTGAGTAAACAGAACAGAAAAGTGGGAACAAAAGAAACTACATATGCCACAGGACAAAAGGGAAAGATAATGGTTTAGAGACAGTACGAGAGGTCCAGAGTAGGTGTTCATGGAAGAATAAAGGTCAGCTCTGAGAACAAAACCAAGAAAACCACACACTTGGGCAGAGGAAACAAAATGAAGAGCAAAGTTCATAGTTTGAAGCTGTTTAACTACCATGTTGAGTCCTAAAGGCTGTAAAGTGCCTAAAGAGAAAATGAGGTGCAAAATAACTCATCCAGATTACACTGGGCTTCACACTGCAGCAAACCTAAGACAAATGTGAGCCTGAAGTTTTGCTTTTTAAGCTGGCTTGTACTCTATCACTACCTCCTCTGGACCCCTATCGCTCCTCTAAAACCATGATTTTTCCCTTCTGTTCAACACATGTATTTGGTTTTGCCTTCAGTAGAACTGATTTATATACTGTTACTAGCACCTACTGTTGGCCTTTTTGCTGTCTAATCATTACCCATCCCTTTCCCTTCTGTTCTGTGGAACTACCAATCTCTCGCCTTGCTTGCCTTTGATCTTTCCATTCCCTTCTGTTTCAGTTGCCCCTCATGTTTGCCTACAGTATGAATGCCATCAATTTTCCATGTCTGAAGAAGAGTTACTGGGCCTGAAATGTTGATGCTTTCTCTCAACAAATGCTGCCAGACCTACTGAGTTTTGCCAGCATTTTGGTTTTTATTTTCCATGTCCCTTCAGTTCTGAAGAGTCCCACTGGACTCCACATTTGATCTTACTGCAGCCAGCCCCATGGAGCTTCTGCTGCATTTTGTTTTTATTTGGGTGTGGTGTTTCTACCATTTTTTTTCAAACTTTCACATTGAAGTGATTAATGGGTGTGTGCCTGTGCGTGCATTATGACAACTCCTATTGAATGTGGAACATCACAATGAAGGTAGAAGGACAATGAGCTAGTATTGCTGCTAGAAAGTCTCAACAGTGATTTTCTCTAGTTTTTCTTTGGAATGGATGATTCGGTTTTGTTGGGTAACATTTTAAGTAATGCTCAAAGGCCCAAGTGACTTGTATGTTGACCCTACTAAGGATGAATTGTTAGTATTTATATTTCTAGTATTTGTGTATGCTAGCCTGTCAGTTCAACTGCTTAAGTTCCTGCTTCAGGCTATTCATAAAAGCAATCAGGATAGTTAAAGTTTTTTTTTAAATCAAATAATCCATTCCTTTTTGGGGGAGTGGGGGGAGGAGGGTGGGTAGGAGAAATCAGAAGGTCCTGTTTGTTTGCAATAACTATCCGTATCTGTCCAAACAATAACTCCATCAGAATCCTACATTTGTGGATGGCCTTACTGCCTGTGTATTGTAATTAGTGTAGAACATTTTCATATAATGTAGGCATCTCTTCCTTTTGACTAGATTGTGTATTTTTGAATATTTTAGTAATTTTTTTTAACAGGTTGTGGTTCTGGCAAGTTAGCCACAATGTATGGGACAATAAACAAGTGACTGCATGAGCATGCCGTTGTTCTGTGGAGTGGGAACTTTTAAATGCTGTTCTATTAATTTGCCAAGTCAACCAGGTTATGTAGTCTGGTATGAAAGAGATGGCCTGTGCATGTCTGGCTTTTGCTGATGGCCTTTAAGAAACAGCATTAGTGGCATTGGAGCATTAAATGATATTTTTACATCTTGAAGAGTTTTTGAAGCATGTAAATCAACAAATGCAACTCCATAGATTGCATTTAAATCTGAATAGTAATCTTGATTGGCAGTTGACAGGAAAAATAAATTCAGATTTTCTATAACCTGCAGTTTGAAGTTTTGGATTGATTGATTGTCTAATTTAAATTCTTTTTTTGGTAGGAACAGAAAACTGAATCTGCAAGCAATCAGAAAGACGACTGAAGGATCTGCCATTGCCTTCAGTTGATTTTTATGTAACACTTGTAGAATTGAAAATATTTTTATCAAGTTATTTTGTAAATGCAAATATTTTTAGGATTAGTACATTTTAGAGTGTGTGTTTGAAAGACATTGATAGAACCTAAACATCCTTTTAGGCAAGTGGGATCTTTCTAACTTCTATTGAGCAAAAAATCAATTTTACGATTGGAAAGATTTTGCATTGTTATCTCTTGACTAACTTGGATATGTGTTCCATGGGCTTTGAAGTTTAGAAATGTTGCCTTTAATACTTAAGGTGATTGAAATGTATAACTAAAAAAATTAGTTTCACTTTTGAATGTTTGTTGTAAAGCAATAAATCTGTGAATTGTTCCAAGAGTTGATGGATGAGTGCTGATGTGATCACCTGCTTGGTTTGTGGTCTGTTTTGTAATAAATGCTTTTTTTCTCAATGTCGTTTGTTTAATCAACAGTTAGTTAGTTTTTGTCTGGATACCTTAATTTTGCCCTGTTTTTAAAAAGCTAACTTCACCTACAAATATGAAACAATGAATGTCTGCTTTAATTTCAGATACTGAATTGATGATAATGATACAGTCTCCTCTAGACTAGTTTATAACTTAAGTATTTAGTTGGGCTTCTCCATGACCAAGTCATTACAGTACCCAATGATGTGTATGTTGTATTAATGGATTGTTAATGTAATACCTGAAAAGAAACTAGATCACCTCGCCCAACAATCAGAATAGAAGGCTGATCAGGACAGCATTGAAATAATTGAGGTGACTAAGCTTTACTGTAAGATAGGCAGACAAGGATTTTGCAAATTCTGATCATGTGGCAGCATTTTAACCAGTTAAACACCAGAGCAATAATATTACTGAATAGGAATAATGCTTTAGATATATAACCAATTAACAATGCAGATGTCATAGCCAGGAAAATGATGCCTATTGAGTATTTAGATCTTCAGATTACAATTCCTGTTATTTTAGCTGAATGGAACCATTATAGTTGAAAGAAAATAAAACTAATCTTTATTCAAGCCATTAGAATTTGAGGCAATCCTGATCAGTCCAGGAGCAGCAGAACGTGTTATTCTAGTACTGCAAAATGTTCAGCAGTGGACACAGCTATGCATGCTACTTGCTTCTTGTGGTTTTTAAGAGTTATTTTACTTCTGACATTTATTTTAGCTGAAGTTTTGCAGTTGTTTGTATTTCATAGTGCCTTAATGTTGGGGACAGCTACTCCCAACTATATAGACCCATGCCTAGATATATTTAAAGTTGGGTTGTACGAGCAACACCTGAATTGAGTGGTAAGTAGATGCAGCATTTTAATACTATTGATGACTCTTTCAGTATTTACTGTGGTGAAAGACATGAAATAAATAGTAATGTTTTGAAGAGTTTATATTACAGAAGAGGAGGTGTTGGAGGTCTTAAAATGCATAAAGGTAGATAAATCCCAGGGATCAGGTATTTTCTAGAATTTTGGAGAAGCCAGGGTAGAGATTGCTGGGCCTCTTTCTGAGACACTTGTATCATCAACAGCTACAGGTGAGGTGCTGCAAGTCTGGATGTTGGCTAATGTGGTTCCATTAAACTTTGGAAAGAAAAACCAGGGAACTATAGATCGGTGAGCCTAACATTGGTAGTGGGTAAGTTGTTGGAAGAGTTTGAGGGACAGGATTTACATGCATTTGAAAAGGCAAGGCCCTTTTAGGGATCAAAGCAGAAGCTGTTGGAAAAGTCTGGCAGCATCTGTGGAGAGAAATCGGAGTTAACATCCTTTGGTCGAGTGATCCTTCTTCAGAACAGTTTTTAGGGATAGTCAACATGGCTTTGTGTGTGGGAAATCGTGTCTCACTAACTTGATTGTTAGCTCTTCAAAACAAAACTCAAAATTAATGAAGGTTGAGGAGCTCGAACAGTTCATCCACTTCACCAACACCTTCCACCCCAACCTTAAGTTTACCTGGACCATCTCTAATACTTCTCTCCCCTTCCTGGACCTCTCTGTCTCCATCTCGGGCAACCACCTAGAAACCGAAATTCATTTCAAGCCCACCGACTCCCATAGCTACCTAGAATACACCTCCCACCCACCTTCCTGCAAAAATGCCATCCCCTATTCCCAATTCCTTCGCCTCCGCCGAATCTGCTCCCAGGATGAGACATTCCACTCCCGTACATCTCAGTTGTCCTCGTTTTTCAAGGACCGTAACTCCCCCCCCCG